AAACTGAGATAGGCTGCTATCTATAATGCTTGTTGGTTCATTGGTGTTATTACTGATGTCGATGAAACAGAATGTCAAGTAAACTTCATGAGTCAGGCCGGAAAGTACGGGGATACGCTAAAGTGGCCAATTTCAAGAGATAAAATTTGGATACCAAAATCTCAAGTGATATTGAAACTAGACAAAGAACCTGAACCACACGGAAGATCTAGGAGATGTTTCAAAATATCACCAGAAACAAAGCAAAACATTGAAAATGAATTTCAACATAGAAAAGAGTATCGTGATTAATGTCCGTAACAATAACATTGTGATCTAAATTGAAAGTTTGAGCAACATTTAAAGAGTTTTAATCTTAATGAATTAAAGCAAGTTCTATTCTGATTAATTATAGAAGCGATCACTTAGGTCTAAATTGAAATTTATGGTTTTAACTGTTAAAATTTTCAAATTTTAAGACATTTGTTATATAATTTTATCTCTTGAAAAGTTTTGTGATATATTTGTTAGTTTTCATTTGTTAGTTATTAAATAAAATGTTCAGATAATGTCATGATACATGTTTTGAGTGTTTAACGTCTTAAAAGGGTAATTCAAACTCCCTTTTCAATCCAATGGTATAAAGTGTACATTTGGTCAATGTCCATAAAGAAAAGTTAGTTTTTCAAATTTAGTAGAAATTTATCATGCTTGTAGAAAACACATATCAATTCATGTGTTTTGTTGTCTATATTGCTTGAAATTAACAGGTAAAACATACATTTAAGACATAAAAGTATTTAACAACAGGCAAGTTGAAAGATCACTTTTTAAATCGAAATGTAGAAATGTGAGAATATGAACTTAAATGTTCATGCTATAACTAAAATGAGGTATGAGTGGAGACTCTTTGATTTTACATAGTAATACATCTGTCAATGGTGATTCAAAAAACCAAGACAAAATATGAATACCACTTCAAAGGAATTGTATAGCTAACCAGATCTTCATTTCAATGTCCATAACGCAGAAAGACAACCATCCAACATTTGCTTTGGCGACAGACAAAAACAAATCATGCAAGGTGTCGGCTTTTGATGTTTTTTTTTTTCACAAATATACATATAAAGCTTCGCATTAACGTTGAAATTTTAGCGTCACGAATGATGCTGATTTTTTTTCATCTTTTATTGCTCAATTGTCCATTTATATCTGGAATGACTGAGTTCTACGCTGGTCATTTGTGGAAGATCAATATGTGAGTTCATTTTATTTTCGTGGCTATCAATTTTCGTAGATGGAGGAAAAGAATATCGCTTAAATAAAGTGAGACATTCTTGATCATTAAATGTCAAAAACATTAAGGTTAGAGTTAGGTTAAGATAAACGTTGAAACATATCCTTTCAAAACATTATTTCATATTTGTACCTTAACTGTCACTTTGATAAGCAAAAAAAAAAAAACAACAAGAACTGAATCACTTTTCTAAACGCGGATTGGAGCTTGTACATTTGTCGTTTGTTGAAGATAAAAGTGTGAATTCATTTATTTTCGTGAATACCAATTTTAGAAGATTGAGAAGAAAATTTATTTGTCAAAGTCTACATACAAGCCTATACAAAACATGTCCTTCGTCAGAAATTGCAATTTGTGGTTCGCATGTACATACAAAATCCTCAAAAATTGGTATCCTACAAGTAATAATAGTAAAGAGTATTCATTGTTTGTGTTGACCAGCCACTGTCACATTGACGTATAGTCCGTGTTTCCTTTAAATTATATAACAAATAAAATATTAAATCGAATCACGAGATGAAGAAAGAGACCCTCTATATGTGATAAAGGACATGAAATTTTGAATATTGACCTACTCGATGAAATCATGTGTTAGAATATAATTTCAATTCAATTGAATGTTATCCCTACATTGATATATTTGTGTTTTTATTTCTTAAATCAATTTAATAGATAAAGAGCTGTCGAATACACAATTCTGTTGACTAGCGGTCCGCAATGCTTAAATTGAAGCATTTAAAAGTCAAAGATCAAATTTAAAAGAAGAGAAAGAAAAACAAAGAAGAAGTAATTAAAACAAGTAACCCATGTAAACACAAAGCAGGATTGAAACTATTGGAAATATATATATATAGGCAAATGTTGTTTGTGCTGTATTTAGACCCCTCTACCAAGAAATTTGTTTTGCATGCACACGTATAAAAATTGCGGTTTTTATCCAACGCAATCATAGGTTTGAACGTTGTTTTCAATTTAGACTTTTGTTATATTTTTTCGTTTGGGCTTGTATTATATTTGCATTCGGGTTTATATGATCTGTTCATCTTATTTCGACTCTTCAAAATTCAAGAGTCTATCCTAAATTTAAGGGAAAGTATATGGCATTCCAAATACCGTTTCGATTCCTAACATCACTGAAGAGACATTCATTGTCGAAATCCGGATATGGTGTACTAATTTTTGCACCTTTTGTTTGCGGTATACCATCTTTTCCGCAAGTTTATTGTTTTCTGTTTGGTATTAAATCAATAGTTAAGATCCATTTTGTTATATCTGGTGATCCGTTTATTTGGGAATCACTTATGGCAGTCAGCAGGGTTTAAGAACATCCGTTGTCTTTTGGAAAATGTTGTTTGTGCTGTAATTAGACCCCTCTACCAAGATGCACACTGAAAACAACGTTCAAACCTATGATTGCGTTGGATAAAAGCCGCAATTTTTTATACGTGTGCATGCAAAACAAATTTCTTGGTAAAGAGGTCTAAAGACAGCACAAACAACATTTTCCAAAAGACCAAAAATGTGAAAAAGTATATTTTAACAAAACGCATTTGACTAACAGGTCGAACAACAAATGTTCTTAAACCCTGCTGACTGCCATTGGCGATTGCCAAATAAACGGATCACCGATGTAATAAATGGATCTTAATTCTAAATTTAATTTGATTTTTGATTTTTGGTGTTTTAACACCACTTTTAAGCACCGCTTTTGGGCTATTTCGTGGCGGCCAGTTTTATTGGTGGAGGAAGCCGGAGTGCCCGAAGAAAACCACCGACCTTCGATAGGAAAACTGACAATCCTAGTCAATTAAGATTGGAGTCGAGTGAACCCGCACGAGCGGGGTTCGAACTCACAACCTCAGTGTTGACTGGCTAGTGATTACAGTAGTAACTACTTAGACCATTTGGCAAACGAGGCCCCCAAATTTAAATTTAATACTAAACAGAAAACAATAAACTTGCGGAAAAGATCATATACCGCAAACAAAAGGTGCAAAGGTTTTTGTACACCATATCCGGATTTCGACAAATAATGTCTCTTCAGTGATGTTAGGAATCGAAATGGTATTTGGAAAGCCCATAAAGTTACCTCAATTTAGGATAGACTCTTGAATTTGGAGGAGTCAAAATAGGATGAACGTATCATATAAACCCGAAGGCAAATATGATACAAGCCCAAACGAAAAAATATAAGCAAGTCTAAATTGAAAACAACGTTCAAACCTATGATTGCGTTGGATAAAAACAGCAATTTTTATACGTGTGCATGCAAAACAAATTTCTTGTTAGAGGGGTCTAAATATAGCACAAACAACATTTTTCAAAAGACCAAAAAAGTGAAAAAGTATAGTTTAACAAAACGCATTTGAATAATATGTCGAACAACGGATGTTCTTAAACCCTGCTGACTGCGATTGGCAATTGCCAAATAAACAGATTAACGAATTATAAATGGATCTTAATTTTAAATTTAATACTAAACAGAAAGCAATAAACTTGCGGAAAAGATGATATACCGCAAACAAAAGGTGCAAAGGTTTTTGTACACCATATTCGGATTTCGACAAATAATGTCTCTTCAGTGATGTTAGATATCGAAATGGTATTTGGAAAGCCCAAAAAATTACCTCAATTTAGGTAGACTCTTGAATTTTGAGGAGTCAAAATAGGATGAACGGATCATATAAACTCCAAGGCAAATATAATACAAGCCCAAACGAAAAAATATAAGCAAGTCTAAATTGATCACAACGTTCAAACCTATGATTGCGCTGGATAAAAACCGCAATTTTTATACGTGTGCATGCAAAACAAATTTCTTGTTAGAGGGGTCTAAATACAGCACAAACAACATTTTTCAAAAGACCAAAAAAGTGAAAAAGTATAGTTTAACAAAACGCATTTGAATAATAGGTCGAACAACGGATGTTCTTAAACCCTGCTGACTGCGATTGGCAATTGCCAAATAAACAGATTAACGAATTATAAATGGATCTTAATTTTAAATTTAATACTAAACAAAAAGCAATAAACTTGCGGAAAAGATGATATACCGCAAACAAAAGGTGCAAAGGTTTTTGTACACCATATCCGGATTTCCACAAATAATGTCTCTTCAGTGATGTCAGGAATGGAAACGGTATTTGGAAAGCCCAAAAATTTACCTCAATTTAGGATAGACTCTTGAATTTTGAGGAGTCAAAATAGGATAAACGGATCATATAAACCCGAAGGCAAATATAATACAAGCCCAAACGAAAAATATAAACAAGTCTAAATTGAAAACAACGTTCAAACCTATGATTGCGTTGGATCAAAACCGCAAATTTTATACGTGTGCATGCAAAACAAATTTCTTGGTAGTGTAAATATATATATATATAAATATATCAGTTATTGTATCGTGCTTTAGTCTACTCATTATGTGTTTAATTTTCATTGCAAAGTCTTTATCTGTATTCATAATCTTTGTCATAATCATCCACTTATTTTGTCTTGTTAATGGTTGTCAACCATTTGTTCATGGCTTTTATCACAGCACATCAAGTGATTATGTAAGCCATTTCTTTATCTCCGTTTTTGATATTATACATATACTTTTTTCCTGGTTGTGCGCTTTAATGAATGTGTTACGTTTTGTTTTAGGTATTTTGTGATCGTTGTTCTCCTGACAGCACAAGAAGGAATATCACAAAAAACAGAAAAAGAGTGGTATGAATATGTTATGAAGAAAGAGGAACCATGCAAAAGTAACACATGTGGACTTGGTGATTCAACATGTGAATGTTACCTAACAATCGAGCATGCTTTAACAATGATTTATACTGAACAGGGTCAACAAGCAGTTCACCTCAAAATAGAAAACGGAAAAGCTGTTAGATCTGACAGTGGAAAGGAGTTTGAACGATCACTTGAAAAAACGTTTATTCTTGCTGATGGATACAAGTCACGAATTGTTATTGCTGTCAACGGTAGATTCCCGGGACCTACAATTACAGCTAGGGAAAACCAAGAAGTAATAGTTCATGTACGAAATTTGATGCATACAGATAGCACGACAATTCATTGGCATGGGATGCATCAAAAAAGCTCCCCTTGGTCAGATGGTGTTGCATTTGTAACACAATGTCCTATTTCACCTGGACAAAACTATACATATAAATTCAACGCAAAGCCATTCGGAACCAGTTTTTATCATGCTCATATTGGTGACCAAAGAACAATGGGTTTATATGGTCCACTGATAATAATTCCAACACCATACCAAAAAGTTGTTTTGCCACAAGAAGGTGACAAGGTATATGTAGCTATTATACAAGATTGGAATCATGATGACGATGCAGATGCATTGTACCAAAAAATGCTATTGGGTGACTTCGACAGCTCAGGTAAACCTTTTGCCGAAACCAAAGATCCTTCTGGGGCACAATATAGCCGTTTTAAATGTCATTCTGGTCTGATTAATGGCAGAGGACGGTTTTACAGTTCTTCGACAATACACAACGGTGTTCCATTGGAACGATTTGAAGTAGAGAAAAATGAAGATTATCGATTTAGGGTGATTAGTGCAGCCACTATGTATCCTTTTCAAGTCTTTGTTGAGGGTCACAGACCAATTTATATCTTAGCGTCTGACGGATTTGAAATAGATAAAAAGGAGGTAGAGTCGTTTATAATTCATCCTGGTGAAAGAATTGATTTTTTGTTGAACGCTGACGCGAAGATTGGTACATACTTACTGGTTGCCGAGACCTTAGAGGTATATTCTCTAAACGAATACCACGCAGCTGAAGCTATTATTCATTACAAAACGGCAGATATCGATCTCAACCCCAAAAAGGTGACCTCACATACATGTGACAGCTCTGGCATCACTTGCAGAGTATTTAATTGTCCATTTATCCAATATCCCAGCAATAAAAATCAAATTTGCATCACTTTCAATGATGTAATATCAATCGATCCAAATTCAAACCCAGATGAAGTTAATTCAGACGAGGTTGTCGAAATGTTTTTCAATTTTGCATTTCCTGGTGAGAATGGTATTACCCCTGGATCAGTTAATGGACACCAGTTTTTACCACCTACAGTTGCTGCATATGCTCAACCGGACCTAGTAGACTACAACTGTGACGCATGTAACGCATATACGATTTGTGAGTGCACATATGCCGTAACCATTGACAACGACAATAAAGACAAAGTTTATCAGTTTGTTATCACAAACATAGGAGGAGGTGCCAATTGGTCACATCCAGTCCATTTGCATGGACATTCGTTCTACGTAATGAAAATGGTGTTCGCTACTTATGACAGTGATGGTAAATTAGTTCCAAATGGTGGACAGGACACAATTGACATTATTTGCCATGACAGTAAAAAGTTTTGTTCTGATGCAAAATGGAGAAATGAAAGTTGGACAAATGGAAAACATCCCGATTTAAACTGGCACAATCCTCCTCAGAAAGACACGATTATAATACCCACTGGAGGATACGTTGTTATTCGATTCAAGGCAGATAACCCCGGTGTCTGGTTTTTTCACTGTCATATTGACTTACATAACACCAATGGTATGGGAATGATAATCAATGAGTCACCAAATATCCAACCGGAGGTGCCAAACAATTTTCCAAAATGTAATAGTTTTCAAAATGACGGTAAGTATATATCATCCGATAGTTGAACATATATCGCTTACTTGTTCGTTTAAGTCTACAACAATATTGTCTTAAGATACATTTGTATAATGTTAAATAAGGTTGCTTTTAATCATGAGTCAACTTTTCTTTTACCCTTTCCTTAGGACATGCGATCACCTTGTTTTTGAGGGTTCGTGTAACTCAGTCTTTAGTTTTCTAAATAGTGTTATCTAAATTTGTCGTCGTTTTTCCTTTTTTTTGTCATGGCTTTGGCAGTTTAGTTGTGACTTATTGTCGGTTCATTTATCTTTTTAAGAGTAATATCCCTGAACTGTATCCCTGCATAAACCAACGCAAATATATAAGAATACTTCGAAGGAAATTAATGTTATTTTGGGAAACATTCAAGTGTACTTAGGAGGATAACTAAAGGGTATTAGACCATTGGTTGATTTAACGTGGATGGTCACATGATATCAGTTTGCAAAAAAGGGTGTGTTTACAATATCCGTGGTGATCAGTCTTTCCACGAACTTCACAGTACCGCGTGCTTGTAGCGTCTTTGTTTTCCTTTGAAAGCTCTGACATATAAGCAATTTTAAATACTTAACAGAATGAACTTTATTTCACATATATACAAAAGATGATCTTCCGTCAGACATTTTAAAACGAAAAATCCGTTATTCTATAAACTATATTTTGTAGATTTTAGTCACTTCCGAATGAATCCCAATGTGTGTCTAATGACAATAGATAATTCCAAAGTTCACAGTTAACTATAATGTAATTCATTAGAAGGATGTCCACAGACAACAAATATTCCACAGGAATTTAATATATCTTACAGATGATATTTTTCAAAGTTCGTAATAATATCAAAAGAAAAATCCACTGATGAAATTATATACTATAGTAACTCGGAATGTAATAGCATATAATTATATCTAAAACTTGATTTGGTTCTGTTTTCTGAGTCTTTTGAAAAGGAATGGCTGAAAGGCATACACTACAAACCAGTAAAAGTCTGAAATGGCCTATATCCAGATCTGTACTCGACTGTACTAATTTTTACTTGACCAGTCTAAATTGGTCTGAAATTTACCCGATATTACTAGACTGTAGTCTGAACCCTACTTCAGTCTGAACTTTTACTCGACCAGTACTTATCCATTTTATTAGTGTCTGAACCATACTGGACCAAGTCTTAACCATTCTCAACCAAGTCTGAACCATACTCGACCTACTCTGAACCATATTCGACCTAGTCTGAACCACACTCTACCAAATCTTAACCAACCTAGACCTATTTCTGTATCTACCTAGTGTACTTCATCCATTTAGGAACTATATTAACAACAGTTATTTACCTTTGCCAGATATTTGAACAACAATTTGAAATCCAAAATGTATTCAATATAGGAATAAAACCAAAATTTTTAAAATAAACATAATATAATCACCAACTTCATATTCATCAACGTTTAAATATATATATATATATAAGTGCCTATAAATAGCAGCACATGACATACAAATCTATGGGAGTGTGGAATAATCAGTACAGAGATTAATTCAATTACACAAATAAAATTATAGATTGCCTAACAATGTAATTTTAACAGACTATTTAGTATGTAAATATAAGAATGTTTAACATATTTACAAAATGATGAAAATAAACGCAATATTTCGCTAGACTAACTAGCTTTATCAAGCGTGCATCTATCCAGGTGAAATCGGATGTAGATGATAAGAAACTTTTGCAGCTCAATGTATATGTTGCACTCGAATTTAGCTGCCTTGAAAATAATACATAATTTGGATGAAGTTCAAGATTTTTACAAAATTGGTAGTTGAAGTTAGCAACGTCCATTGGCCAATATTACAGGATAAAAAGGACGATGCTGTGTACCAAATTATTCTTTCTCTTTCCTGTATCTTTTCTCATCTTTTTCGTTAAGACCATCAGGTTCTAAAGTGTGGAGTTGGTGGATCCAAAAATTTTCTCTTCTCCTTCTCGCCTTGGTGTCCCACTCGGTGTTGACTTCTATGATTTGGAAGGTAACATTATCAAAAGAATGTTTCGTTGAACGAAGATGTCTTGTGAGAGGACAGTTTTTGTTGGTTTTGTACCATGAACGATGGTTATTGAGCCGAATATTAAATTTGTCCATGGTTTTTATAAATCGAGTTCTCCGTTTTACAGTTGGAATTTGAGTAGATGGTATAATTTTGTTTAGTAACGGAGCTGATGAAAGAACTCCTTGTATTGGCAGCTTTACAACACAAGCAGTTCGTTCGACCACATTGTTTGTAGCAACCGGGAGATGGAGTAGGCTGCTTTGCTAATACAGATGTCACTAATTTGTCACGGATGTTTTTAGGTCTTCTGAAGGCCATGACTGGTGGTGAGGAAAATACTTTTTTAAGATTTGAATCATTTTCTATAATTATCCAATGCTTCTGAACAATGGAAGACACATTTTTTAATATCAGGATGGTAAGTGAGTACAAGGGGTGTTCTGTTAGCTGCTTTATTCTTATCTTTGTACTCTAGAAGTTTTTGGCAACTAGTTTTGTTTGCTCTTTCGAAAGCGCTATCAATGATGTTGTTATTGTATCCTCGAACAACTAGATGTTTACGTAGTTGTCCAAGTCTAGCATTTTGCGTATTTTCAGTAGAGCATATTCTCTTGATTCGCAATGCCTGGCTGAATGGGATGCCACGGGAGCAGTGTTTAGGATGGCAACTTTTAGGAGAAAGGAATTGATGTTTGTCCGTTTGTTTGGTATGAAGGTCCGTTATAATGGTTCCGTTCTTGATGTAACTCGTAGTGTCGAGGAAGTTTATTTTCTCCATAGATGATTCATATGTAAATTTTATTGAATGGTGGAAAGAGTTACAGTGTCCTAGAAATTCATTAAGATGTTCTTGTGAATCTGTCCATTTGAAATCAATATCGTCAATGAATCGGAACCATGATAAAGGTTGGTATGGAGCACTAGCCAAGAGGCGACCAATTGTTTCAGCAAATAGTCATCCAACTGAAAAGATATCAGAATTTGTAGACCATCATCTAAGACCTCATGTGAAAGAACTACCCTCTTACATCCAAGATACGACTGATTATCTAAAGAAAATGGAAAGCCTCAATCCTCTACCAAGCAATACTATACTTGCATCCATGGACGTGTCTTCTTTATATACCAACATTCCACAAGACGAAGGAATAGCAGCGTGTGAAGAGGTATGGAACACTCGTAGTGAAAAAAATCTTCCAACTGAGTGCCTTGTTATACTCCTGAAACTAGTGCTAGAGAACAACAACTTCTCTTTCAATGAAAAACATTATCTCCAGATAGACGGTACTAGTATGGGCACAAAAATGGCCCCGTCATATGCCAACATATGTATGGGCCAACTTGAAAAACGCCTCTTGGCTAGTGCTCCACACCAACCCTTATCATGGTTCCGATTCATTGACGATATTGATTTCAAATGGACAGATTCACAAGAACATCTTAATGAATTTCTAGGACACTGTAACTCTTTCCACCATTCAATAAAATTTACATATGAATCATCTATGGAGAAAATAAACTTCCTCGACACTACGAGTTACATCAAGAACGGAACCATTATAACGGACCTTCATACCAAATAAACAGACAAACATCAATTCCTTTCTCCTAAATGTTGCCATCCTAAACACTGCTCCCGTGGCATCCCATTCAGCCAGGCATTGCGAATCAAGAGAATATGCTCTACTGAAAATACGCAAAATGCTAGACTTGGACAACTACGTAAACATCTAGTTGTTCGAGGATACAATAACAACATCATTGATAGCGCTTTCGAAAGAGCAAACAAAACTAGTCGCCAAGAACTTCTAGAGTACAAAGATAAGAATAAAGCAGCTAACAGAACACCCCTTGTACTCACTTACCATCCTGATTTTAATAATGTGTCTTCCATTGTTCAGAAGCATTGAAAAATTATAGAAAATGATTCAAATCTTAAAAAAGTATTTTCCTCACCACCAGTCATGGCCTTCAGAAGACCTAAAAACAACCGTGACAAATTAGTGACATCTGTATTAGCAAAGTAGCCTATTCCATCTCCCGGTTGCTACAAACAATGTGGTCGAAGGAACTGCTTGTGTTGTAAAGCTGCCAATACAAGCAGTTCTTTCATCAGCTCCGTTACTAAACAAAATTATACCATCTACTCAAATTCCAACTGTAAAACGGAGAACTCAATTTATAGAAACAATGGACAAATTAAATATTCGGCTCAATAACCATCGTTCATGGTACAAAACCAACAAAAACTGTCCTCTCACAAGACATCTTCGTTCAACGAAACATTCTTTTGATAAAGTTACCTTCCAAATCATAGAATTCAACATCGAGTGGGACACCACGTCGAGATGGAGAAGAGAAAATTTTTGGATCCACCAACTCCACACTTTAGAACCTGATGGTCTTAACGAAAAAGATGAGAAAAGATACAGGAAAGAGAAAGAATAATTTGGTACACAGCATCGTCCTTTTTATCCTGTAATATTGGCCAATGGACGTTGCTAACTTCAACTACCAATTTTGTAAAAATCTTGAACTTCATCCAAATTATGTATTATTTTCAAGGCAGCTAAATTCAAGAGCAACATATACATTGAGCTGCAAAAGTTTCTTATCATCTACATCCGATTTCACCTGGATAGATGCACGCTTGATAAAGCTAGGTAGTCTAGCGAAATATTGCGTTTATTTTCATCATTTTGTAAATATTTTAAACATTCTTATATTTACATACTAAATAGTGTGTTAAAATTACATTGTTAGGCAATCTATATATATATATATATATATATATATATATATATATATATATATATATATATAAGTACGTCTGAACCAGTGACAAATCTACAACAGATTTCTCCATCGGATCACCACCAGTGATGATGATACCTGGTTGTGTACATTCTGTATATACAACTCGTCTAAACATCAGCCCAACAATGTTAGATCTGTAAATTTA